CAAGGAGAGTCTATTCCTTTTCCATTTAAATTGGGTACCTATTAAACAAAACAAAAAGGGCTTAAACAACTGAAATCAATTAGTATCAGGAAATCCTGCATTCTGATGGGCCTGACTCATGTACGCTCAAACTGGCAGGCAACAGTGAAGCCCCTCCTCATTAAGGGATTATTATAAACATGCCATTGGTCTCTGGATGACTCTGTAGGTTTGAGAATCTGTCTAGTTTTATTGGCAGATCTGAACTGTTGTCTTTCAACTTTATTACTCCCAGTGGTGTCTTAAATGTCAGAGAAAAATATTGCAAAATTGAACAAGCAATTATTTAGTTGTACAATGATTTCTAGTGCTTAGGGCAAAGAGGTTTTCTCTTGCTTCCATCACAGCTACAGTGAAGATGTTGAAGGCTCTGATTAATCCTTAGCTCTAGTTCTGTTTTTGATTTTTAAAGATACTCATTGTTAGATTTGCAGACAGGAAATGAAAGGGGGAAATAGCAAATAGTGAAACAGTAGCTCAAGATACTAAAGCCACTGGGTCAGCATTGACAAGGTATGAGAATGGCTCCTATATTTCTCCATAAAGCATCAGGTAAAGGGAGATACTAATCCCTTATATAGCGTTAAAGCAGAACTAGGGCTTGTTTCACATGACAGCAGATGAGAAGATAGGCTATGAGAGATTTTCTTGGTGGCATGCAGGGAATTAGGTATGTGTTATGCCTAACAAATAATATGGAGGAAATATATTCCAGTGCTCACTGTGTAGTTGTGTTTTATAGTTCAAGTGAAATATTTGCATCTTCTGACTTGACTACAGTGAGAAGTATGGGCCTGTGCCTAGTGAAGTCAATTTTGCCATTGACTTCAATGGGGGCAGGATTAGGCCTTTGTGATTTTCAATACACAAACATTATGGTTTGCAGACTAATTTGCACACTTTACAGCTAAACCAATTCAGTTGCCTGCATTTTCAAGACTCGAGTCTATAGACTTGATTTATGCTCCCCTGTGGACCTTTAGTTCTTCACCAAATGTTGGCCTGTTCTAGGCAGTGTAGTCTAATGATTAGAGCAGTCGACTAGGCTTGGGAGATTTGAGTTGTGTTCATAGCTCTGCCACTGACCTCAGGGAAGTCATTTCATCTCTCTGCCGGAGTTTCCTCAGGAAATAAGGATACTTACCAAGTTACCTCTTTTGCAAAGCACTCTGAGATCTTCAGATTAAAAGTGGTATAAAACAGCTAGCTGTTGTTCTCTAAAGAGTTTTGGGAATGGGAAGGACACTGGACCTAATCAAACTGAATTCCAGATTATATTACTACTGCCTAATGCCCAATGTATAACAACAAACATAGCAAAAAAATTGCTGAGAGAAGGATCTCAGATATGCATGCACTATAGCTGTATGTATGCATGTGGAGGTTCCTTCTAATATTGCCTGCTTCTATGTGTTTCTATTGACTTAATAGTCTGGAAGTCGTTGGGCCTCTAAAGATATGATTACACTGCAATTAAACATCAGAACATAAAAATGGCCCTACTGGGTCACACCAATGGTCCACCTAGCCCATTATCCTGTCTTCTCACAGTGGCCAATGCCAGTTGCTTCAGAGGGAATGAACAGAACAAGTAATTATCAAGTGATCCATCCCATCACACATTCCCAGCTTCTGGCAAACAGAAGCTAGGGGCACTTCAGAGCATTGTTTTGCACCCCTGCCCATCCTGGCTAATAGCCATCGATGGACCTATCCTCCATGAACTTATCTAGTTCTTTTTTAAAAACGTGCGGCTGGGTCGTGCCAGCTGACTTGGGCTCGCAGGGCTCAGGCTAAAGGGGCTGTTTAATTGGAGTGTAGACATTTCGGCTTGGGCTCCAACCCAAGTTCTGGGACCCTTCCACCTTGCAAGGTCCTAGAGCAGGGGTCTCAAACACACGGCCCACGGGCTGCATGCGGCCCGCAGGGTGATTTTCTGCGGCCCGCGAGCCCCTCGCAACCCCCCCCACCCTCCCCTAGTGTTTACCAGAGTGGCTCCGGCCGGACGTGCACCGGGAGCTGGGCATGCTCCCTGCCTGCCTGCCCTGCCCTGTGCAGCTCCGGGAAGAGGCTGGAACATGGGGAAGGGGGGGCGGAGGGGCTGTGTGTGGCTGTTGCTTCAGGCAACGCCCCCAGCAGCTCCAATTGGCCGGGAACAGGGAACAGCGGCCAATGGGAGCTGCTGGCGGCGGTGCCTCAAGCAACAGAAACACACAGCCCCTCCGCCCCCTCCTTCCCCACGTTCCAGCCTCTTGCGGTGGCAGGGGAGGCAGGCAGGCAGGGAGCCTGCCCTGCCCCCAGTACGTACCGGGCCAGATCCTTCCCCCCGAACCCCCTGCCGCCCCCTGCACCCTGACCCCCTGCCTCACCCCGCACCCCTCCTGCATCCCAACCCACTGCCCTGATCCCCCTGCTGCACCCTGCACCCTTCTTGCACCCCAACCCCCTGCACTGAGCCCCCTGCCGCACCCTGCACCCTGACCCCTTGCTGTACCCTATGTCACTAGCAGCTGATGAAGTGATAGGAAGCCTGTGCTCCTAAAGTAGGCGAATCTGCTTTTGTGAATTTCTGATCAGCAGCAATATGCCAATCACAAAGTCCTAGATGGCCACAAATTTGTCACATTATTGTTGTTGTGTATATATACTGCTGTTTTATTATGTATTTATTCTTTCCCACTGTCTACCCATAAATTGTGGAATTATTGAAACCACTCCCTTATTCTAAGAATTTCTTCTCTGAAAAGTAATCTTAAGCCAAATCAGATATGCTAAAATATATTAGTCCACTGGGAAAGAAACTATCTGGTGTAAAATGTCTGACCTCCCTAGAGCAGTTTGCTTCTGGAATGAATTACCTGCAACAATAAGCCAGATATTTAAAAGTTACTTAAACTTCAGTTTAAGGAAAAGTGCAAGAATTTAGCTAAATTGGAATGCAACTGATACCCAGGATGTATCCTCTGGCTGGCTAGATTGGCCACTTTCTTTGTAATGTTGAGTAGCACTGAGTTTAGCTTTAATTGTTCCATTGCTGTATTATGGTAACTTCTTGAGTGTTCAATAAGCATTTTGTGGTATTTCTTTAATTATGCAATGTGCTACCCTGTCTCTCTGAAATGCATATGCACTGCTACCTATATCTGTATTTTCTCTGATGTTTCAAGTGCCAGAGTGATGTGGCATGAAAGGTGGCCATGTCTTTGTTTACATGGCTCATGTGTAGGGATGAGAGAACACAGTGTTGCTACAGGCTTTAGGAAAGTGTCCGAATGATGGAGCGAAATTGTGTTTCTCCAGTATTTTAGAACATTGATTTTGTTGATGACATCATGTTAGAGGTTTCGTTTGGTTGTTTTTTCCTTCAAGTTCATCCTTTCTCTCCCCTTCTTTCAAAGGAGCTTCAGTCTGATCTCTACATTGTTACATATACATGGGAGGCCCTGTTTTGGTTATGCAAACCTTAGGGCACCTGAAACACGTATTCTCACACTCAAACCCAGCGTGGGCGGTGTTTTCCTACAGGTCTCTGATGTGTCCACCCATGTCATTTGCCTCCTCAGATCTGAGGCTGGGGATACCAAAGCTTTAACCCTCCTCCTCCCACCCCCCAGATTTGCTTAGGGGGAATGTTTGGTGTGTATGGTGTACATGTATGTTTGGGATGGAGGATTTAGTTTATTTGGGGGGATGTCTCTTGGCTTTTTCCTGAAAAAAAGATTAAAATGTTCAGAATGGTAAGACTTTATCTGAGTTTATTCATTCTTCCTAAGACTTGTTAATTGGGCTCATTTTATACAAAGCAAAATAACTGACAGTACTTAAAATGTTGATTGGCTAAGGTGGACATGCAGATGCAGAGGCCGCTTTTAAAATGTGGTTCAACAGGTGAACTAAAATGCTTTTTACTGGACTTAAAACTCCTTCCATCCCTCATTCTCATGTCTTTTCCGCTCCTAGTGAAACTAGGTGGGAGGAAGCATTATGTCGCCTCCTCTCCACAGATAATGGTGGCTCCCTGTGGCCTGATTGCCCCTCCTTCCATCCTCATCCACAGCTAAAAAGAAGTGGTTGGTTCTCAAAGCCCAGTCCTCTTTCCCCCCCCCTCTTCCTCCTCACGTTCCTTATCGTAACCGAAGAGAAGTGGAATAGGTATCATTTTGAATAAAGACCAGGTAGCCTTAAAAATATTTGTGAATAAAGACAGAGTAACAATAACAATGAAAATATGTATATTTTATTTAATTTTTATTTTTAAAGAAGGACTCCTTTTATAAGTAGGTGAAAGGATACCAATATATACAATCAGTAACACAATGTGTAATTATCTCTAGCTGAAGGTGTAACTGTAGCTCTGCCTCAAGTACTGCATGGTAGAGTATAAATAATATGGGAGCAGAAAATGAACTCATTGTAAGTTACAGGTAAAGTTCAATGAGCATTGACAGAGGTTCTTTTTCTAGTTTTTAAATGCCAGAGAAAGGTGTCAATTGACCGTACCAAAGATAAAATCCTGTACAGAATTGTCTGCACAGAATAGGTATGATATGTGCAGTGGCAAGGCAAGTTTTCTCCATGTTACTTAGCCAATGTGCCTCAACCCTGCTCTGGAGAGACCATTCATAAGGTAGGGTGTTCATTATCCATAACTTATTCAGTCTTGGTTGCCTCTACTGGGGGTTGCCACTTGAGGAAGTAGTTTTTGTGATGTGGACTCTTGTACCATTAGGAATTGGACTGCCAGCTACTAAATATATTTCACATGGGCAGCTGCTGGCTGTTTGTCAAGTTTATTTAAAGTATGAAAGAAAATGGCCCATGTGGTAACTCAGGATTCCTGCAGCTTCTAGTCTTGTTCTTTTTCACTAGGATGTTCATATTCCTCTTTCCTCTTTACATATGGTAGCTCATGGGAGATATATAATTTTATCACCAGATAATTGTGCATTTTTTCTCTACAGCTACCTGCACAAGAACAAATACCTGAAAGTTATTGAAGAAGATGCATTTTTGGGAGTGCACAGTGGACCAACCCTGCTGTGAGTAGGAGAAAAGGGTGGAGAAGGTTTTAAAAGTGGTGTTCATTAGCACTGCACCATACTCAGGACTATCAACAGAAAACAAGAGCGTGTGGGTGATATGTTTACACAATAACATTGATGATAAAAGCTGTTATTCTGGAACTGACTGTATTACCTAGGGTTAATGCTCTGTGTTGCAAGAAACTTGGGTTTTTGTTTGATTCTCAGTCTTTCTTGGTGTTTTGTTTCTTGGGGTTTAGACAGTGGCAGATGTACATAGCTCAACTATTCCTTTAGCTGATTAAAAGTCACCTGTAAAAAGAAAATAGTTGGGTTTGTGCCTTTTAGAAATATATTTATTTTTGCTACTCTATGATGATTAAAGAAGGGCTGAAAGAAGTTTAGAAGAAGTTAGTATTGTACATTAGAAATACAAATCCTCATCATCTTGTTTCTCATGAAAGACACCGTTTAACTGGAGAACAAGTAGGATTGTAGTTGCATAAGTAATAAGGAAATGGAAACTGAGATAGGAAGGGATTTTTAGTTAACTCTTAAAATTATTTTGTAGCTGCTGCTGTTTTTGTTACTCCCTATTTAATTTGACTCCCAGTCCAGTTTTCTGGTCCTCCAAGTAGACTACCAATAAAATCAAGGAAGACAAGGTTTGATATTCTTGCTATTTCTAAAGTACAAAACAAACAGGAAAAAAGTTTGAAGAATGATGACAGATTTTTTCTATACAAACAAATGGACACAAACCCAATTCTTTGTTTTCTCTGCTGCTTAGGTTTAAGGAGAGGGATTGATAGACTCAGAAGGGAGTCTGTCCAGTCCTTAATGTACAGGATGGATGCTATCCTGGGGACAATGGTGTGCTGAGAAATGTTGGAAGAATGAGAGAGGGTGCTGAGTTAAAAAACAAAACAAAACAGGTACTTCTCTAGCCTCTAATTTGCTTGCAGAAGATCCTGAAATTCCTTCCTCCAGGCATAGCAGCTGAATTGCAGGGTTTAGCCTGTTGGTGATCATGGCAGTGATTCCAGCCACAGAGATCACTCCAAATGACGTTGCCAGATTCACTGTCTATCCGACAAGACAACTTGTGTGTCATATTCAGTGTCATTGCATCAAAATGAAGTTTGGGCTACCGGGTTACTTAAGGATCATCAAGAATCCTCCCAACTAGACTAGGTAATTAAGGTTGTAGGAGGCATGATCTTCCTCTCTGAATGTGACTGATGACAGAAAAACTGGCAGGATAACAGCTTTGCAGCAAAAAAAACCCTGTCTGCTTAACCATAAAATGGTATTGACATATGTGGCCTCAATCCTGTATCAGAAGGTTTCTTGCTGCTGACTACGAGTTCAGAAAGGGAGGTGGAATATGGAACAGGGAAATCAAGACAAAAAGCCAGAAAGCACATCAGTTTAAAAAAATAAAACCTTCCAGTTATAGTTTAACACTTTTGGGTATTTATTCTTTAATATGACAGTCTTTTTCATACAGCAGAATTTGATTTTTGCCTCAGTACTGAAATCTATTAAGTAGGGAGTCTCTCTGTCTGTCTGCTTATGTTGTTTCCCTCTTCTTGCCAACTGCCTATGGAACATAAAACCTATATTGTAACTGAGAGCCAAAAGAGATCTTCCTTCATCTCAAATGGTAGAAGACTGTTTTTCTTAGCTGACGTTTTTAAAGTCTATTCTTCCTGTTGCTGTTTGCAATGGCAGTGTCTGTGCAGCTAGAGATCTATCCCTTTAAATGCACAAGGTTTCCCAAATACCTTTACAGGACAGAAGATTATTTACAAAATGGTTTCATTGACAGGGAAGGGAATATTAGGCAGAATATTTTGTGTGTATGTATTAGACATCTAAAAAGATGTTGGTCTAATATGTTGACCTAAGTATGTCAAAATACATATATATATAAACAACCAAATCACTGAGGCTGCAGATAGATAGCATTTTATAGATATCACATTAATGTAGAGTTGTGGTTACCAATAGTGGAAAAGTGGAATTCAGGGCATATAAAGAGACATTTCTTCTCCTGCTGTGTTTTCAGGTTAGATTTGTTCTTCAAAGTAACTGGAAGTTGTCACAATTTTCTGTAGTCTATTGTACTGACCCACTTGTCACTAATCCACAGGACACTGGCATGTGTTTTTAATCTTTCAATCACATCAGCCAGCTTTCCATCTTCCTTTAGAAACTGTGCATGTGTGCAATAGACAGGTCATAATAACATTTCCACGAGAAGATGGAGGTGGTGCTAAATAGACATTGCACAAGGAGGAATTGCTTCTCCAGGAAAGAAGAAAGAGGAGGAGCCATGATAAGTGATCATAAATGTACCATCTGCTGTTTATTCCTAACCAGTTTCTTTTTTTTAAAGTTGACAGCATTTTTCTTTGATGTGGTCCTTGGATTTGCTGGCATTGCACAGACTAACTACTTTGGGAATGTAGCATGTTCAGTCAAGTTTAATTTGTGGGTAACAACTTCAGGGCCTTCTGTAACCCTTACACAATTGGTAGAGCCCTGCATGGATATAAAAATATGGATCTGCATACAATCCGCATCCGCAAGAATCAACTTGTATCCGACCCGCACTCATCTGTATCTGGACCGCATCCGCAGCAGCAAGCTATCTCACAGTGCCTCTCAGGAGGAGAGTCTGTATGCATGTGCATGTGTGCTCTATATAGGATCTCAAAGGCAGGGAAGCAGCTGTCTGCAGCTCATAGCCTATGAGGCTGCTTCCCCACCTTCCAGATCCTATATTCCCTCTCCTTTCCACCCCCCATACAGAGAAAGGGGAGATGATCGATCAAGACAGGCAGCAAAATCCCCCATGCTCCTGTTGCTGGTTTAAACACCCAAGCAATTTAGGAAACCTCTCCCGACTTCATTTCCATATCAGGTCAGTTGAAGAGGGAGGCAGCTGCTTCTGCAAAGTAAGTCGGGATAGGAGTAGAGGCTCTGTTCTTCTCTGAGAAATGCCAGTGTTCTGAGCCTCCCTTTGTGATCTCAACTCCAAATGAAGAGTGAGTTTCACCCAGAGTAAAAAACAAAACAAAAAATTGGATTAATCATTTGACCAAATTTTGTAAAATATATTAGTCCAAATTCACCCACTGCCCATTCTCTTTAGAAATAAGAGGTGCTTTGGAGGCATCACTGCCCAAACTGCAAGGCTGCCAGCCCTGAGGAGGCTCCTCTTTCTTCCTGGACTTGGGCACAAGCAAGACTAGGGAATATGAAAAACAAGGAATAATGTGTAACAGATCCTTCTCTATGTAACAGGACCATTCTGCTAGTCACTAAATGGTACATAATTAGGAATAAACATCCTTCAGAACATCCAGTGGCTAGATTTCACATCTGTGACCCAATCTCTACAGATTCATGAACTATGTCAATCCCATCTACTGTATATTTATACTTTTTAATCCGATAGTACTGGCACAATTATAATGTACGGCATGCAGAAATTCAGGCTTGGGTGATTAAAGTAAGGCACATACATACACAATTTTACTATTATGCATTCAGCCTTGTTTTCTCAGTTCCCCACTTGCTTAATCTTCATTATTACTCAATTTTACACCATGATGGTAAGTTTCTGGTACAGTAACTCCTCACTTAATGTCGTCCTGGTTAACGTTGTTTTGTTGTTACGTTGCTGATCAATTAGGGAACATGCTCATTTAAAGTTGTGCAATGCTCCACTATTACGTTGTTTGGCTGCCTGCTTTCTCCACAGCTGGCAGCCTCCCCTGGCAGCTACGCCTCCCTCTTCCCCCCCCCCCCGTCCACAGCGCCTCCCGCCCGCCGGCAGACCCCGCAGATCAGCGCCTTCCCCTTCCTCCCCCCGACTCTTACCCGTGGCAATCAGCTGACTTGCGGGGTTTAGGAGGGAGGGGGGAGGAGCAAGGACTCGGCGTGCAAGCTCCCCCTCCCTCCACTGCCTCCTGCCCGCAGCAATCAGCTGGCTTGCAGCGTTTAGGAGGCAGGAGGGAGGGGAGAGGAGCGAGGACTCGGCGCGCAGGGTTTCTGAGGGTTTCCAACATTCTACAGTATTCACTCTAATGTACAAGATTCTATATAAAGCAAGTTAGTTAGTGCCATAGAAACATCACATGTGGCTAATGGAAAATCCATGGGAGAAAGAAGTATAAAACATCTAACAAGGCAGGGCTTTAAAACTGGTGTGTTTTTTTGTTTGCTTGGGTGGGGGGTTGTTTCTTTGTTTGGGGGGGTTATTTTTTGTTTTTTAGGGGTTTTGGGGGGTGGGTTGTAATGTCAGGCATAGGTTTGCACAGGAACAAATCACATTAGAAGCCAAAGAGAATCAAAACCTCTTTGAAAGGTGTCTTAGCCCTGGTAAAGCTCCCCATTCTGAACGTTCACCAGGCTGTTGTGTTTTTATCCCACACACTGAACCTGTATGCTTTTAAGCTTTCCTGAATCTGAGCAGAGTCCAGGCACTTCCTTTAGCTATGGGCACAGTGTCAGGCTGGAGATTCTCTTTCTAGCACTTCCTTCTGAGGGCTAAGACCCTGCAGTCCAACTGCCTGGGCCCTGAGACTAATGTTGGCTCCCTGAGATTCCCCGTTGCTTAAGCGCACCCTTTCCCAGAACTCCAACCTTGTGGGTGCTCTGGTTTACAGTAGTTTACAAGGTTGTTTTCAGGGATGCGTTAGCTGAAGTAAGGAGACATAATTAAGTCAACTTAACTTAAGTCAACATATAGCCACCGCAGAAATTAAAGCGGTGGTTCATATCCATACTATGCTCTTTCTGTCAGCAGATGCACCAGGAGCGCTTCCACCGACAAGTGGGGCATTGTGGGACACTGACAGCTGGAGCACTGGAGCCCAGTGGCTGACAGCCTCAGCTGTCAGCCCTGTGCGGGGCTTACAGCTGGAGCCACCCCTGTCCCAGTGCTGACAGTCTGAGCTGTCAGCACCAGGGTGGGGTGGGAGGGTTCAAGCTGTTAGCCTCACTTG